TTCTCTCCTCCAAAGGATTTCAATTTATCATGTTATGGATGGAATTTAGGTGGCGTTTGATAGGCATGAACCCCTTGGAATTAGGGGGAATGGAATCCAATTCTACCACTTTCTCATTTTTGGTTAAAGTTTTCCAAGGGAATTTGAATCCCTCATGGCTTCAACTTTCTATCAAATGAGGGAAAGTGAATCTATCCAAGAATGGATAGAATTCAATTATCTTGTTGGATGAAATTAAAATTTGACCATACTACCCTCATCAATCTTTTAGTAACTTAATCATATATTGAATAAAAATATTTTTTTATTATTTCGGTCGGGTCGGGTGAAACTTTATTTTGGTCGGGTCGGGTTGGTTTTTTTAAGTGTGATATTCGGGTCGGGTCGAGTTCGGGTTTAGGGTGAAAAATACCCGACCCTAAAATATATATAATTTTACCTTATATATTTAAGAATAATTACAATAATACCCCTCTATATATAATTTTTTTCAATTAAGTCACTATTTTTATTGAATAAAAATTATTTTTTTTAATTTATATATTTGGGTCAGGTCGGGTGAAACTTTATTTTGGTCGGACCGCGTCGATTTTTTTTAAGTGTGATATTCGGGTCGGGTCGGGTTCGGGTTTAGGGTGAAAAATACCCGACCCCACCCGACCCAAAAAAATATATAATTTTACCTTATATATTTAGGAATAATTACAATAATACCTCTCTCTCTATATTTTTCCAATTAAGTCACTGTTTTTATTAAATAAAAATAATTTTTTTATTATTTCAGGTCGAGTTTCTAATTCATATATTCGGGTCGGGTCGGGTAAAACTTTATTGGTTGAGTCGGGTCTCGGATGGAGGTTCCCTTGTTCTCGGGTCGAGTTGGGTGGACCAAAAATCCGACCTAACCCGACCCATGGTCATCCCTAATTGGGATGATTTTAACTTATGATGTTTATTAGCATAATTTTTATAATTTATTGAAATGAATAATCAATCAATAAAATTAATTTTTTTTTAAATTTTTATAATATATTGCTACATGTAATTTATAAAACAAACTAAAATTAAGCAAAAAAAGAAGGGCAATCCTGTCATTTTACATTACTGAAATCAAATTCATCTGACATGTCTGCGAATCAAACAGAATATGGAATTGATTCCAATTCAATTTCCTGCCAACCAAACAGAATATAGAATTGGATTTCAATTCCTGACAGATTCTAATTCCTTCACATATTCCAATCCCTCATAAACATTCCAGCGAACCAAATGCCACCTTACTTCCCCCTTGATGGAATTAAATTCCAATTCCCCCTTTGAAAACTTGAACAAAACATGGAAAGTAGTGGAATTGGATTCCAATTCCTCCTAATTCTAAGGGACTCTAGCAACCAAACGTCACCTTAGGTTGGCGATGTTGGAACGGAACGGAGCTTGTTGGAAATAAAAAACCAGAAGACAACCGTTGAGATGTTTATTATTATTATTATTATTATTATTATTATTTAATGTTGATATGGGAATTGGAGCACCAAATCAAATACATCCTTACTAAGGGTATAAATGAGACGAGACATATCACGAGCTACTCGAGATCAATTCAATCAAGGCTCGATAAATACTCGGATCGAATGGACTTGACTCGAGCTCGACTCGAATTCTTAACGAGCCGAAACGAGCTACTCGATATTCGACTCGAAAAGCTCGTGAGCAGCTCGAAAAAAAATATTATATTATAATTTTAGATTTTTTAAATTACATTATTAAAAATACATTATTGATAATTATAAAATTTTAAAAATATATTAAAAATTCTATAATACAACTAAACCATATTGTAATGCATTTAATATCAAGATACTATATTGTATTACCTCATAAATCGATACTAAGTCGATTAATTAATGTATTTGTAATGAACCATAAACCCTAAAACCCTAAACTCTAAATCTTAAACCATAAATCTTAAACCCTAAATTTGATTATGTGATAGGGATTAAGTTATGCACATGAAAGTAACATACAAATTATGCAAAATGATGTTATGTGACTCCTAAATAAATCATTCGCATACTTATACATAAACATATCAACATGCAAAATAAATATACACAACTTGCTGATTGAGACATGATTTTATCATATCTTAATGATGACTATCGACACCATCATTGCTTTCAAGCACTGACTCACCAACATAATATTTCAAGAACTGACTTGACGACATAATGTAAACGGAGATTTGATGTACAAATACAACTAAAACGATGTGATCATATTTTATCATACCCTAGTTAACAAGTTATAATCAATATCACACAATCACCAATTTTTAATGAAAAATGACGAGTTTGAATCATATGAATAGTCGAGATAAATACATGATAGGATTATGATATATATTATAAACAATTAAAGCGTTTTAGAATGAAAGTAGAATTTAGGATAGTTATAAAGTAATATATGTTTGCCCCACGTCTAATGTTTCATCTGATCACAAAAATCTCATTTAGAAACATTTTATGGAGGAAAGATTTATTAGCGAAAAAGACAGTAAAAAAGAGAAGAAAAAAAGAGGGATAAAGTGTAGCTGCAATTATCCGCAATTGAAAATGGAAATGCCTCAATCACAAATTCATAGATTTAGGAGAATCTAAACAATAAGACCACTACTTTTGCATTGAACCACTGGAAGATTTTGCTGGAGATAACCCATCAATCTTCCACAAATAGGACACCACATTATCTGTTTATGTCCACGAATCAGTAATCATAAATTCGGGAATAACAGAATTGCACTGGTGGACAACCCCACGTTTTCCTACGTTCTTTCATGACCAATTCCAAAAGCATGAAAGCAAAACAGCGGCTAACTAGAAAATAACCAAGTGAGAGCAATTGAATACACCTACTAATTAAATCCAGAAAATAACCACGTAATCTGTGAAGCCGAAAGGACAAAGGAAGAGAGGTAATGTCTTTGATCATTATGAGTTTATGACCTAGAAACAGTATCTGATAGCAAAAACTGCACCTGGTTTTGTAGCCAGGCCTATAGATACATCTACTGGCCTTTTGGAACTCTGTGACTTGTCTTCCTTTGCAGGTTTTAAGTTAATGGCAACTATAGAATCAGGAACCTTTTTATTTTCTGATGGTAATGAAGACCCACCAATTTTTGAGGACGGTAGATTTCCCTGAATTTCTTCTGTTTCTTTATATCTCACTTTTCGTATTTCATCTTGGATGTTCCATGAGCCGTTGGCAAGAGAATTTCTTTTCCTCTGCATTCGTGTTAAAACAATAAACAGCTTCGGGTTAGAGAAACCTGTAATTTATCTTCTGTTCTGCTATGAAAAAAAGAAACACATGCTCAACCCCAAAAGCAATTGCAGAAGTAACACAAACGGTCGGCTTGAAAGATAAAATGCCTTTCCTTCAGATGCTCCAAAGCGTTGAACTTAGTTGGTCATGTGAGTTGATATCCCACATCAGTGGTTCTTGGAGAATAAGCGGTAAAGTCTAGTGTATAAAAGGGGATGGATTGAAGTAAATGAACATAAAACTTGTCTAGCTTGAATTGAGCTCAAAATTGAGCTTCAATTGAGCTCAAGTCTTGAGCTTCAATTGAGCTCTAAATTTTTTTTAAGTTTGAGTTTTTTCTAGTTTGAGTTGAGTTTTAATAATATATTTTGAATTTGAGTTGAGTTTGATAATTTTTAGCTCACGAGTTTTTGAGTCGAGTTTACTCTTACAGTTATGAGTTCGAGTCAAACTTAGTATTACTCGAGCTCGACTCAGCTCATTTACACTCATAATCTTTATTGTGTCCTTTTAACTCACATTATTATATTTGGCTATTGAGAAAGCAGAGAAAAGTGAATCTCTGCTGTGGCCACTTGTTCTTAGGGATGGCAATTCAACCCGAATTCGATGGGTTCCGACCCCACCTGATCCGATCGGGTCGGATTTTTTTAAAAAATTTTGGGTTCGGGTCGAGTCGGGTCGGGTTTTTTTAAATGCACTGTTCGGGTCGGGTTTAGGGTAAAAAAAATCCGACCCGACCCGAAAAATATATATAATTTTATCTTATATATTTAGGGATAATTACAATAATATCCCTCCATATATAATTTTTTTCAATTAAGTCACTGTTTTCATTGAATTAAATTTTTTTTTATTTCGGGTCGGGTTTCTAAGTCATATATTCGGGTCGGGTCGGGTCGGGTGAAACATTAATTTTGTCGGGTCGGGTCGGGTCACGGGTGGAGAACCCTTTCTTCTCGGGTCGGGTCGGGTGGCCCAAAAACCCGACCCGACCCGACCCATTGCCATCCCTACTTGTTCTCTGTCATTTTCTTTCACATTTTGCATGGTTTGTTACAGCAGTTTCATAATTCGGCACATGCTTTGTGTTTTGGACTTGTCTTTAATGTCTACTCACTTGCATTCCTTACCCCGTATTATATTTGTTTGCTCTTTAATCTCTAAAAAAATATTTGATATTTTGTTAGTTGAGAATTATGTTTGAAAAGTAATATTAGAATTTAAATACCCCATTTTTATTAAGGAATTTAATATTTTATTTCATTCATATTTATCGATAAATGATTGATAATTGAATTTTTAAACTTTATAAATATTATATAAAAACGAGTGTTAATATATAAAATATCAAATTGACATATTTTTACCTTTTTGTATTAGAGTTTTGGATTGGTACAAGAAAGCATTGCGAGGCAGTTGGTTTCTTTAGAAAACAATGAAACCATTTAAAAATTGTCAATTAGTGATGCTAATATAAAACGGATGCAATGGGTATCATGTGATCATTCTTCCATTCAACTTTCTAAAAAAAAACAATGTGATTTTATAGTAAGGAATTTGTATCCATGGCATGCATGCATATATCAGGTTTAGGGTTTCAATCGAAAAAGGGGAGCCAGCACAACATGAAGAGAATACTGGTTGAGCACCAAGTAAACTATTGCTGTGGCCGGCTATAACGGAGCCAGCTGTGACATGTCGCAAAATTTTGGAACTTGGTCGCAGATGGGAAGCCAACCCGCATGACTGTTCCCTTTCTTCCCTATCTCTGCTACTGCCGAAGCAGCTGAGATACTCGATGTTAGTAGCATCGCTATAAGCACGTTCATGATCCCAATCAAGCGGTCTACGGAACTCTTCCTAGATAAAAAGAGAGCTACAAGGCCGTAGCCGCTTGCAATTGCCTCTGCAATCACATAAAACCTATGCGAAAATTTGTCAACCGATAAATATATACATATTTTAGGAAACTAGACGTGTGTGGGGATTGTCCCCTCAAGAAAAACATTAATTGTAAAGGATTCTTAGTTGAATGAAGGGGAGTTGTTATATTTTACCGTGAATTTTATGTTCAACACCTCAGCAGAGTCGTGGCTAGTGACCATGACAACTGTCGCAGAAAGAGTTGCACCCAAAGCTAGAAACCTTATGAGAATGGTGATGATTCTCTTGGTTTTGGCCATAAAGGCTCGTTTTCCCAGACTCCAATGAATATTATAGAATGAATAATAGTGTTGTTTAAACTATATATATATAGATAGATATAGATGAAATAGATGCAGGTTCCAGATTTGAATAATATGATGCTTGACACTCGTTTCCTCATCGACATGTGTTTGGAGATGAAAAGAATGATTCGGTAACCTGCCAAAGCTAGACGCTTCAATATTTGTGATGAAATCAACAAGCTGGAATCAAAACTATTGGGTAATGTTTCAGTTTTTCTCTCTCTCCTAAATTATTAACGTAAAAAGCTTTGAAGGAAGCTTTGGTGGAACATTTGATGATAGCTGAATCAGTTCAATAACCATTGTGGAAGATGTACGGCGGTTGCCAATATTCAGTCCAGGTGGGCTTTCGGCATTCGAGTCTTGTGCTAGCGCTGGCCTACTTTATTTATGTTCCGCTGGAAGTTCCAGCTTCCATAATTGGGGTAGCTTCGGCTAAATGTCCGAGCGGGTGCTGGTACGTGCTACTGCCTGCTAGGGATGGTAAACGGGTACAGTTTTATGGATTCTGTACCGCATCCGCTCCAATTGGGGCGGGGATGGGTATAATTTTAGCGGGTAGCGGGCGGGTGTGGATTTAGAAAGTGGTATCCGTCGCGGGTGGTGGGCGGGTAATGGGTTTGAGACATTACCCGCCCCGCATCCGCCCCACATCCGCCCGCCCCACATCCGCCCGTCCAGCTAAATATCTATTAAATTTAGGACCATTATGAATTTAGGTGTAATTTTAGATACTAATTTATAAATTCTAATATTGTATAAGATATAACATGTAATTTATCCAACTCTCCAACAAATAACAAAGGATATTTTGGACATTTTTGTCTCCATTGTCCCATCAAAATCTGCATTCAGTATAGGTGGAAGAGTAATTGGTCCTTATCGTAGTCGACTACTTCCGGAGACGATTGAAGCATTAATGTATGCTCAAAATTGGCTTTGGGCCGATATTAAAGGAAATATTATTATTTAGTTTATATTAGTTGTCAAATTGTGCTTAATTATCTTATTAAAGTTTAGTTACTAACTTATATTAGTTTTACTTTCTATTATATAGGTAGGTAGTAGTGAATTTAAATTGAAGCTTGGAGGAAATAGAGAATGATGATTGTAATACTGGAGTATTATATGTCACAAATATTGCCTGAAATTTTAGAATGTTGTGCCAAAGAACAAACATTATGCGTTTGTCATTTATGTTTCTAGACTTTAAATATGTCATTTATTATGGTGTTTTATGTATTTTAAGATCTATATTAACACTTAACTTAGATAATCCTTGGATTATTTTATTATGTTTCTTAATGGACATATTTTTTTTATGTTTGTTGCTTATGTATAACTTAAGTTTGCTGTCAGGCGGGTCTAGACGGGTACATCGCTAGTGGGTGTGGGGATGGATTTGAGAATGTACCTGCGTGGGCGGGTGTGGATTTGAAAATTTGTACCCATCATGGGTGGTGGGCGGTAATGGATTGAAAAATATTAGGTTGATATGAGGATGAGGGAAGGGGTATCCGCACCCGACCCGGCCGTTTGCCATCCTACTGCCTGCTGCTATGTCAACCACCAAGTTTACTTTATTAAGAAACGTGAGTTATCCTTTTGATCATAAATAGCAATTACTTTGTCCAGACACAAGTTCAAAGTTTTAACGTTGAAAAGATGATTATATTAAAGCCGCTAATGTCCTTTTTGGTGCTTCAAACGAGCTAATATAGGCCCGAAAGAGTGCGGGTACAATTCATGAGCCGAGCAGATTGTTATTGGGCCTATAATATAGTACAAGTATTCTCAAAATCCCCGAGTGGACTACAATGTGCTTCCGAGGCAAACGGCGTCGTATCGGATTTTGCATCTTTTTACTCGATACCTACACGTTGATGGCGGATCGAATCACACAGCGAAATAGCAGATGGAGAATAAAGAAACTAGTAAGGGAGAACAGCCGCAAGAAGAAGAAGTAGAAGGACCACCGCCAGGATGGCAAGCTATTCCTCCTCCTCAACCGCAGCCTTCATCCGGTTTGTCTCCCATATTCGTCTATTTGTCATTAATTATAATTATGTCTATAACCTCTAATCGATTACTTCTATTAATCATCTTATTTTTCCTTAGAAACCTCTTTCCATCTGATTTTCATCGCATGCCGTGAATAAAGCTGGATCCTTTTTTCTATACTGCCTCGATTTTGATAAAAGATTTAGAATTGAATTAGGATGTTTAACCGTCAGCTTCTTTCCCAACTCACTTACATTACCCGTATCTTAGTTTCATTCATATTAGGCCTTATCAGTGGGGGTTTTCCTCCAATTATATCTCAATCAAAAGGTTTACATGTAAACTCTTTGGCCGACTGATCTTCACCTAGAGTTATGTTTTTCATAGTATTTTCTTCAATCATTTGATTTTTTGACATTTTGAATGCAGAAATGGCTCAAATGGTTTGTGGCTCTTGTCGTCAATTGCTTTCATATCCACGAGGAACCCAGCAAGTTAAGTGTTCATGTTGCGAAACAGTCAATTTTGTACTTGAAGGTTCCTTTCTCCTTTTCTGATGTTCAGTATCAAACATATCATTGCTTTCCTATAGCTTAATGAAGCTATACATATAATTGGTTTGAAAATAACTTTCCGTGTTCTGCCTCCAATTATTGGTGTTACCATGAATCATAGTTTTTGAAAGCTTGATCTTTTCACTTGGACAAGAGCATGCAGTCTGGTTTTCAGTTCATTCCTCACTTTTGTGATTTATTGGTAGAAAAAAGAATGTGGTCTCCAACATTTGATTAGTCTTCTCTTCTCTTTCAGCTCATCAGGTTGGACTGGTTAAGTGTGGCAGTTGTGCAGTGTTGTTGATGTACCCCTATGGAGCTCCATCAGTGAAATGCTCCTCTTGCCTTTGTGTGACGGAAATCGGGGTAATGTGAATTTTTCTCTTTTCTTTATCCTGCAGTTTTCATGCTGGCTTGCTTTCGTCAACATATTTTGCTCACATCAGATTGTGTTGTTAGTGCTATCATTCTTATGAGAAGTTGAGATCAGTAGATTCATTATGTTGATGCTTCATGTGTAGGCACACAACAGACGCCCTTCGTGGTCTGTACAACAGGGGCAACCGAAGCCTCCAAATGCTGCGCATTTAACTGCCCCAATGCCTTTCTAATCTATTGATCCCTGACTCTCTTTGTTATGTTGATGTTTAGTTGAATTATCTGTGCACAGGAACTAATGCTGATATCATCATAATGAATTTGTAATCTTTTTCGATGTGCTAACCAAAGTTTAAGAGTCCTGAATAATGTTTCAGTCCAGCTCTCTTGCCATGAAGGTTTAGTCCTTTATACTTCATTTGATAGAAGGGTCATTTTTTCCAACGTGTCTTAATACATGAGTTAACAATAAACATCTTCGACTAGTTTCAATGTCTAACCCTGTAATGGTATGAGTGGGTGGCAATCATTATAGAATCCTACTGTTATATTAATTCCCCGGGCCTTGTTAGTCGTACGAGTATACCTAATTTTTAACCCCATATCAGAGAGAACCATTTTTAAAACTCAACTCTCTCATTTTGTTCACTCCATTGAACTTTGGGACACCCCATTGGTCACTCCATCGTCTTATTTGGTGCTGCGAAATTAACCCCCCGAGTCGCCCCCTGTTCCTGTTTCTAGATACCATAGAGCCCACAAAGTAAAAACCAAATGTAAATGTAAAAAGCACATCCCATTGCCGTATCAAAATTGCAAAACGAAATCAGATTAGACGAGTAGGAATGCAAGGAGAGCAAAGAAATTTAAAAGTAAAGTAAAGTGTTGCTGCTCAGGATCGAGCTGTGGACACTTCACCTTTTTTGGGAGTAAAGATGACTTGCGATTAAGCAGTAGGTAAACCAAGCTAAATAGATAATAAAGATGACTAAAAATATATCTATATAATCAAGTAGGATATGCATGCTTTATGGTTCTATTAGAAGGAAACAAATAATAATGAGTGGAAAAATGGAAAAGCAAACTAGACAAATCAAGAAGTTATTTATTTGATTGTCGTACAGGTAGATATTTCACCTGTATTTAGCGTTATGCAGTCAAATAAAATTATCCACAAACCCTGGAATTGGTATCATGTCTTTCCTTCTCTTTTGACAACACTTTTTGGGAGATGCTATTTTACGCACCAACAAGCTAAGTAGTGGTTTAAGCTTTGTCTGCTAAAGACGATGCTCCGTTGTTGTCCAAGAATTAGGCTTTTGGTACATGAAGGTGCGGAATTAGCAGATGATAGCAAAAATATTACTCGTATAAGAAAAATGAAAGAAAAAACCTATGATTTTCCGTTGTCGGGACTTTAATCCGGGTCTCTCAGGTGAGAGCCGAGTATCCTAACCAACTGAACTACAACATCGTATCTTTAAAGTCCGTTTACTAGGAAAATGAGATTGTTCATTTCCTTTTGGACGTTTGATTGTTAACACATTAATTTTGAAGCAAAGGTATGCGAAAAGTCAATCCAAAATAAGGGCGTTGGAGCATATTGAGATAATACGGAAAACAGAGAGCATATTCTACTTGATCATTACTCAAAAACTTAGTGTTGGGGAGTTTGGAAGATAAATCAAAACCAGAAAAAAGCCTTTACGTAGTAATGTAAATTGTTGAATAATTTGTAATTGAAATCAAAGTTTTAATTTTAAAAAGCTTTAAACCATCCTTCTCAGATTGTGTGCCTTTCTACTCACCGCAGCTCCAGTGCGATATAACAACCTCCAATAAGCTCACAAATGTAATAAAGTAGAGAAAAGGTTGGTCAGTTCAACAAGACTTTCAAGCTTTATCTAACTTCATCGTCAGTTAAAAAATCGAACGACCCAAAACACACTTTCCTCTCTTCGGACATCAACAACTTTGGAGCTGAAACCACATACAGGTACGCGCTTAAAACTGCCACCTAAG